CAAAGATCGGCTGCCGCCTGTCAAAAACAATGCATTCTGGTTACATTAAAATACTTTTGTCCAACTTTGATCGGCGCTGCAGCCGCCCTACGATCACGTGTGCATTCGAAAGTACCGCGAGAGCAAAATGGGACCAGCCGCCTAGGTCAAGCCCTGCAAAAGCCTTGATGACGACACACTTTATTATTCTCAGTTAGATTCTGTGATCAAGCACGATGTGTGTTGCGTGCTTATTCTAACAATTCAATTCCAATGCTCACAAATCTGTGTTTATATAACAGTAAAAGCATTTTTAGGTAGTCGCACTGTTAATTTTGATTTATTTATTTATTTTTTTCACGTTTCAAAAAACACTGATGAAAGCATATACACCCCCACTTAATTGGTATTTAAATAGCATATGTTAGTGTTTACCTTATTCATGACAGATGGCGCTGTATTAAGCAGTATAAAAAGTGTTTCTGTTGCTTTATGAAACATCTGTGTATTTGACAAATGTTGCATTAATTCGCTTCATCTGTGAATGTATGCAAACACTGCGAGAGCGTCATTACCAGGAGCAGAAAGTGTCTGACTTGACGTCTCCGGCAGGAAATGACTAAAGTGCTGACCATGGCCGTTATGAATGAAGAGCTTGTTTTTGAAGCAGGTGGCCTCCGTTGAATGTGAAAGGCCACTTAGACATCAGAGAGCGAGACCTCTGGGCCCATAAAGGAGAGAGACCTCGGCATTTAACACATTCGGATCCATGCACAGGAACAACTGACTCGTGGTAGACCAAACACATCTTTATTTCCAGACTAATGATCCATCAGGAATGCAGTCTATACGGACACCGCTGCTATTACTGAGAGTGGAATGAGCTTCTTCAAGAAAAAGACTTGATCAAGAATTTCAGTATAAAAACACCCAAATAAAAACCCATCTGTTGGTCTTTTATAGCCTGTTAGGTCTAGTTCCCGGTGTGAGGAAACTCTCTGAAATTGATTTTCACCTCAGTTCTACTGAAAGAGCATCTCTTTTTCTTTCTTTCTCTATCTTTGTCACACTTTTGTCCCAGAAGTGATGATCTGAGGCGAACGAGGAGAGGAGATTCTTTATGTGTGAGTGTGTCGGGATGGGCTGTGGGAAAGGCAGGCGGGTGTTCAGACGGGGCGTGGACTCATGGGAGATTTCTCGCTTGTACTGCCAGTTTCTAAACTTACAGAAGCTCGACTAGCCGTGCTCTCATGGTGCAAGAGCGAAAATGATGTGTGAAGTCCTAAGAATACATGGAAACGGAGTAGAATGGACGCTTACCTAATGTCAGTCATTCATAGCACAAAATACTGAATAAACATTAGTGTGACACCCGATCTGTACGGTGCGATTTGCTATTTTAAGCTACATTTGGAGAACTCTCACATATAAGAATTAGTTCATAGAGATTGTTGGCAACACAAAATGAATGTTTTATGGTTTATCTGATTTTATTCACAGCACCTTGGGTTCCTCTCCAAAAAAAAACAAAAAACGTAGGGTCACAGTGGACCAGGTTAAGACGAGTGATAAGGTTATACTGAGGCAGAGTAACAAAATCAGTTTATAATCTTAATTACGTTAACATAATATTCTGTAAAAATGGTGTCAGTCAGTACTGTGAAATGTAATGGACAGTTCATGAATAAGTTAATTTGCTTGATACTGCACTCTAAACAGATTGTTAAATAAAATAAAAAATCTAAAATATTTTATAAACAATATTCTGTTTTTTTTTCTAAAATTCAAATGTATAATATTTCAGAAATAATAATTTACTATTGTAAAATGTAACTATTTCATAAACATTATTATTTTATTATATAGAAACAATATTTCCCTATTCTAAAATTGAAATGTTAAAATATTATATAAATATTTCAGAATCAGTAATTCACTTTCCTAAAATGTAAAATGTAACTACTTCATAAACAGTATTCTGTTATTCAAAATATTTATAATACTTTTATATTTCAGAAACAATAATTGACTATTGTAAAATTTTATAGACATCATTATTTTTTTATATAGAAACAGTATTTCCCTATTCTAAAACTGAAATTTTAAATATATATATATATATATATAAAACAATTTACATCAATATGACTTCCATACAAGTCGTAACAAATTTAGGTTATAACAATGATGTGGTTTTGATGTCCAGTTTTCTTGTCATTATTATAACATTATTTAAAACGTTTCTTACAACATTCAACTAACTTTTCCACCCAAAATATAATGTTATTTGAATGTTTATTTTTAATTTTCTAAAAATGCTAAAATGTCCAGTTTTCTTGTTGTGATTAGAGTGTTATTTAAAGGTTACAAAAAAAAAAAATAACTTTCTTAGAACATTCATCAAGTAGCCTACAAATACCATCATAAGTACGTTCTGAGAATGTCACTGTTATGAGAATGTATATCAAATATTAATAACGTTGTGAGATGTTCCATAAACATTACTTTAAGAACATTTTGTTCTAACATTTCTAAACCATAACAAACATTCCCTGTTAGCTGGGTGTCCATCTGTATATATTTAATACTATATTTATATATTTGTTTCAATACTAAGTCAAATTTAGTAGGCTATTTAGTATTGCACTTGTTAGAATGAGATGTAATAATGGTGGAAGGTGACATTTACTGCATATTTATTATATTTATGTCAACTTTACCAACATCTTCATCGTTAGCTTACCTGTTAGCTACTGTGAGTGACAGATCTCAGGTCGGGTTAATGTATTAATACCATTACTAATTGAATTAAAGACCCCTGACCTCCTAAACGGATGTTTTTAGGGGCGGTTAACATTAGCCATGTGCAAAAAGTTACGGTCGACATCTGGACTTCTGGAAATTCCATTGTTTCTGTATGTGTGGGCAGCAAAACGGGTTGGACGTTTTTGCAATATTTGAATTAAGAGTCATGTTTAAAAATGGAATAAAAACAAAACAAAACAAAAAATTAAAACAAATGGAGCTGTCTCATTTTTCAAAAGATGGACCCCATATACAGTATATATACACACATTTACATTTAGTCATTTAGCAGACGCATTTATCCAAAGGGACTTGTACAATACTTATTTTACCCGATGTATATATATATATATATATATATATATATATAAAACGATCAACTGCACTATTCAAATTACCGGTAAAAAACCTGTGAAAAAAACAAACAAGCAAACAAAAAAAAAACATTAAAAATACTTCATACAGTATTGACATAGTAGATTGGGCTACTCGAAATTCGAAAATTCACTGTTTTAGCTTTCAGGAAAAAAACTCACTATTCTAAAATTATTCTAAAATTCAAATGTATAATATTTCAATTCACTATTCTAAAATGAAAAATGTAACTTTCAGAAACAATATTCTAAAAGTCAAAATGTTAAATAATTCAAACTTCACCTTCAACTATTTTAAAAACAGTTTTCACAGTATTCATTTGTGCCTGTCTACTTGGACACCAGCACCTTCTGATGAAAACTATACATGGAAATGCTTCACAGGCTTGTCAAATAACACCCTTTACGACCCTTGGGAGTAAACGGTAACCGGACTGGAGTGCTGAGAGTGTGTTGAGTGCAGTTGCAGACATTTGTACTCATTGTAAAGCCGATTCCATTGTAAGGAACGGCCAGCATCAGCAAATACTCCAGGCTTTGTCCTGCCCTGTATACAGAGAAGCAGACTCACACACACAGATGCTTTTCCCGCTGCAGCTGGACAAATTTGTTGTGGGTTGGATTTTCATGGAGGGGTTTAGAATCTCATTTGATGGAGCCGAAAGCCTCTCATAAACGGTGGTTTCTCGTGCTGCATCCAGCCACATCCTAGGTTTGTGTGTGTTTGTGGATAGATATGCACATGCATCTGCATTTTTATTTTTTTTGCAACTCATCTGAATTAGTGCAGAATCATATTATGCACACTATCTGATCCATAATGTAGCAATCATTATCAATAGATTGGAATTGTTAAACAATATTGAAATGGGACATAGTCATCATTTACTCACGTGCACTTTCTCTGACTTCCCTGAAATTCTGTCCCACACTTAATTGGACAATCACGGAGAACTAACCAAGCATTATATTTTTATACCTAGCCATATGTTTCATATTTACAGTCATGTACCACAGGAGAGGAAATCAGGCCCTGCTGAAACCTCTGTTTCCTGTCAGCTGTATTAAGTGGTGCTTGCTGTAGCAAATATCACTGTTCATCTCTTTACTTACTGTACTTCAGTCCAAAACTTTGGTGCGTTGATTGAGGGACCAGAGCCATATGTAGGGTTCAGAATATCTTGCAACCACTTGGTATTCCGATAGCAATCACCCAGGACACCCTAGCAACCAGCCAGCAACACTCTAGCAACCACATACTCATCAGAACACTCTAGCAACCACACACTCACCAGAACACACTAGCAACCACTCAAACACCCTAACAACCACCTTCAACACACTAGCAAACACCCAAACACCCTAACAACCACCTTCAACACACTAGCAACCGCCCAAACACCCTAACAACCACCTTTAACACACTAGCAACCCTCTAGCAACCACCCAAACACCCTAACAACCACCTTCAACAAACTAGCAACCACCCAAACATCCTTACAACCACCTTTAACACAATAGCAACCCTCTAGCAACCAACCTATCAACCACCTTCAACACACTAGCAACCACCCAAAAAAAAAACTATCAACCACCTTTAACACACTAGCAACCCTCTAGCAACCACCACCTTTAACACGCTAGCAAACCCTTTAGCAACCACCCGGACACCCTAACAACCACCTTTAACACACTAGCAACCCTCTAGCAACCACCACCTTTAACACGCTAGCAAACCCTTTAGCAACCACCCGGACACCCTAACAACCACCTTTAACACACTAGCAACCCTCTAGCAACCACCACCTTTAACACGCTAGCAAACCCTTTAGCAACCACCCGGACACCCTAACAACCACCTGCAACCACACACTCACCAGAACACACTAGCAACCATCTAGCAACCACTCAAACACCCTAACAACCACCTTCAACAAACTAGCAACCACCCAAACACCCTAACAACCACCTTCAACACACTAGCAACCCTCTAGCAACCACCCTAACAACCACCCAAAAAAAAAACTATCAACCACCTTTAACACACTAGCAACCCTCTAGCAACCACCACCTTTAACACGCTAGCAAACCCTTTAGCAACCACCCGAACACCCTAACAACCACCTTTAACACACTAGCAACCCTCTAGCAACCACCCAAACACCCTAGCGACCACCCAAAAATGCCCTAGCAAGACCCGTTTTGCATGGGTTGTGAAGTGAGTAGTCAAAGAAACAACAACAAACGTAATTCTTTGTTTGTGATGCTTTTATTTTGAAAAATGTGCATGAAAGCTGTTGACACTTCTGTCAATAGTTAAGTAAAGAGCGCCTGAGAAAAATGCTAATTCAATATCTGCGGTCAGATGAGATGTTGCCAGGCTATATGTCAGTGTCATTATTCATTATAACAAGTCAAGTCAAGTCACCTTTATTTAAATGGCACTTTATACAATACTGATTGTGTCAAAGCAGCTTTACAGTGTCATTAAATGTCAGAAAAGTGAACTGTCCTGTCAGTCGTTATGCTCTGCTCGAATAGCACGCACTCTTCAAATGTGGCGGTGAGCACTGTATATCACTTTATTATAAATAAAGCACAAAAAAAAAATTACGAGCATGCAACATCATAGTTGTGATGTCAATTAGTAAGTCATGAAATTACCAAAAAGTGCAGATAAATTACGTAACTAGTACTTTGTGTGTTAGCTGGGAAGAATAACTTTCCTGTCCTGTCAGTCGTTATGCTCTGCTCGAATAGCACACACTCTTCAAATGTGGCGGTGAGCACTGTATGTCACTTTATTATAAATAAAGCACAAAAGAAATTACGAGCATGCAACGTCATAGTTGTGATGTCAATTAGTAAGTCATGAAATTACCAAAAAAGTACAGATAAATTACGTAACTAGTACTTTGTGTGTTAGCTGGGAAGAATTTGCATACAGGTATGATGTTCATTCTATTCATTACATTCATAACCACAAACATGCAAAAATATTTTGGATATTTTTAAATGAGTGTTGTGGCTCATACCAATTGCTAACTTTAGTGTATTAACAAAAACTAGTTTGGGACTGCTATTAAATAGCCTTACCTATAAAATATATAAAATAAACTTGCTTGGTTTTGTAAATGAATTCCTAATTAATTAATTCCTAATTTGTTAGGAATTAGGTCAAACTGCTAAAAAAAATTGGATCATGGCTTAATGACCATGTGAAAATGTGGGTCCTATGGCCAAACCAGTGGAGAACCACTGGCCTAAAACACTGTACAAACACCCAGAACAGACTAGAAACCATCTAGCAACCACC